AGTCACTCGCTTTGTGCCGTAAACAGTTAATTCAATGCAAAGCTGCCTTAAGCCTGCGTCCTTTCTAATGGCCAGCAGGGGGCGACTCCTGTGGTCTGAATGTAGAGAAACCTGAAACACTTTACAGCCAGGTTATGGCCCCAGTCTTTAGTTTGCAGGCTTTGTGAATACAACACGATGTTCATGCTGTAAATTATGGTCACACTCGAGGTGAAACAGAAGATGAAGCGTCAGGGACACCGTGTGCCTCTCAGGGACAACACGTTTCTGTTTTGTCTGTGATTTAAAAACAACATGATTACTGAGGCCTGATTCTGTTTGCTGCAGTCATTTTTCAGCCTCTGTCATCTGTGCAAATACATCTTCTAAGTGTTTAGTTTCAGGTTACGCTGCGTTCTGGGTGTGTTTAGTAAGTATCCCTCCCTCCTGTGTGTGACAGCAGGCCGGGAGGATGTCTGTGGAGGTGGACGTGTTGCTGCAGGAGGCAAAGGAAAGCATCGAGGCGGCGCAGAACTACCGCAGCGAACTCCAGCAGCGCCTGCATGGCCTCAACCAGGCCCGTAAACAGGTACTGCATCCTGATTTGTTATCAGTTGTGAAGCTCGGGCCTCGTGTTTTCCTCCCGCAGATGTGATGCGCTTTACTCCCCCAGTGCTTTCTTTGTCTGTTTCACTGCACCCGCTCACTCTGAAAGACTCGTCCAGGCCCAGGCGCTGTGATTTGTCTTCGCTCCTGACTCAGAAGAATCCCGGGAGAGTAAATTCTCCCCTCTCCCTCCCCTCTCCCTCTCTGCTATCTCTTCCTTCCCCCTGCTGTCTAGTTTTACCCCTCCAGCTGCTCGCAGTAAACAATGCTGCTGTTTCCTGTCGCTGTGGACGCACAGCGAGCGTTAGAGGAGAGATTAAAAAAGGAAAGCGGGAGAGAAACGAGGCAGATTTTGGTCCAAGAACATAAAATATGGGATTGTTGTTTTTTCATTCAGAATAAGCAGCAACTGCAGTTCCTCTAATCTCCACAGGGGGCTCCAAGAGTGAGTCGGTCTGGTTAAAATGACGGACATAGACGTGTGCACAGGGTGGTATAAAAATGGGTATCTATAGATAATTGAGGGGAAGGCACAGAGTTGGCGGGGGAGGTTATTTTACCATAAAGACCATCTTCCAATGAAAACGACCGGCTCCTGCTGACAGCCTCCACCTCACCTTCCACACTGAGCGACAGAAAGCTGAGGCACGAGAGCGCCGACCTACCAGGACAGGATGGCAGCCATTAAATACAAAATATAGCTGAAAATGCCGCCACCAGGGGGCAGCAGTGGATGATTCTGGGTTCAAACATCTCTTCTTTTGGTGATTCTTAATTGGCTGTAGGTGTGGGTGTGAGAGTGTGTCGCGTCTCTCTGATTGGACGCGTTTAGCTGTACCCCGCCTCCAGCCCTGTGCAGCTGATAATCACCTACACTGTTCAGTGTTATATTTGAAGTTGACCCCACCCCCCTTTGAGCCTAAGCATGTTAGGTTACTTACACATAAAGTGGCTAAAAAACACTAATAAAGAAGTTAAAAAGGAGATTTCCTGGTAAGCAGAAGAGGATGGATGCAAGGAACTGTAAGTGACGCTCTGATGACTTGATGGCGAGGCTGAGCTGCTCCTGTAGGTGTAATATGTAGGTGACCTGGGACATAATCATGTATTCCTTTGCTCCACGAGCAACTTCCAGTTGGTAAATCTGCCTTTTTTTTCCAGTTTTTATCTTTCTCTCACATGATTTCTATCAGAGGGTTGCTGCTGGTGCTGCTGGTGATGATAACGGTGTCTTTCCAGCAGCTTTAGCCGCTGTCTGTGATCCGGTTACTTTGAATTCCTGTCTGCCTTTCCATCAGTGTTTTGTCTCCTGCAAGAGTCGCCACGCTTACTGAATCAGTGCGGTCTCAGACCAGAGCACATAAATGTATCACAAAGCAAACCTGAGCTTCTCCAGCTGATCCACACACACGTACAGTTTGCCTCATCCAGAGAAACAATCTGCAGACTTATTAGTAAAATTCGATGTGGGATGTGTTTCATTTGTTTTGTTAGTGCAGCTGAGACTCCCTCCACCTCCCTCAGCTGTTCCATCGCACGTTATCCTGGATCGAGATGTGCTTTCTTTTCTTTCCCATGACCCGCTGATTTCCCACAGAGGGAGACGGCTCCCCACCAGATTATAGCCCAGGAAACATCACACACACACACACACAGCGAATAAGGGATACCAAAGTGTGTGTTTGAGATCTGAGACAATGCTATCACTGCAGCATCTCTCTCCTTGTAAGAGGAAAACTATTTCTGTCCCGCCTCGTGTTTGGATCATATCTTTAGTCTTATTTTACTTTTCAAATCCCAAAATATTGATAATTGCTCATCTGTGTCCAGCTGATAATCCTCAGGATATGATGCCTCTGCTGGAAAACCGCTCACACACACAAAAAGATCCGAGTGTAGTCTGGCAGAGCGGCTTTCCGTCGTCATGCAGTCGCTGCTTTATCAGTGCAGCAGTTGTCAATCAGCCTTCCGTTTCCTGCCATCGCTCTCCGTACACTCATTGTGAAATCTCACTCTGTGTGTTCTGCAAAGAGGAACTGAAACATGACCTCCGCCGACTGCAGATGACGAGCAAGTCAGCTTCCTCATGAGCTGCTGGTGTGTGCAGTCGGTCCGCACCGCCTCTGTGTGAGGTCATAGCGCTAACTGCGGCGTAACTGTTGCTGGTCGTTTAATAAAACTCTATCGGTTCTTCCCAAACGAAACCCCAGAATCAACCGACTGTTTTTTTTTTTAAATGTATAATAACTTTAGTACGTGTGATGAAGCCCTGCAGAATTTTACCTTCATACTCTGAATGTTTCCTGATTGATAAGCGCTTAAAGTACAACCCCACAACAGCTGGGACGCTGTGTGCACCGTAAATAAATACAGAAGGTGATGATTTGTGCATCTCAGCACAGACTGCGGGTCTCTGTGGCAGCTGGAGACGGGCAAAGTAAACGTTTCTACAACCAAACAGCTGGAGGAAGATTTTTACAGCTAGTCAGGTTAAAGGGCAGCAGGTCAGGAACATCATCGAGGCAGAGCTTCTCAGACATAAAGATGGACAGAGGTTCACCAACCCGTTCCTTTCTGTGAACATCTCAGTATAATCTCATCAAAAGGCTCTGAGATGAGGACAAAAATCAGGTAACT